CTTTTCTTCTTTGTTAGGGACTGCAGGAGTATGATTCTAATGATTTACGATGCAGTCAACCTTGAGCGTAAAGCTCTTCGGGATGTTGTTCTCCCCAACGGCATGAAGTTACCCAAGGGAACCAACGTTGCTGTCGATTCTTCCATTATGTGGGATCCGGAAATCTATCCAAACCCAACTGCCTACGATGGATATCGATTCCTTAGATTACGTCAAGCTGGAAATGCTGCCGCAGCCTTGGTATCCACCAGCCACGACCACATCGCATTTGGCATTGGGAAGCCCATTTGCCCTGGAAGATTCTTCGCTGCAAACGAGCTCAAAGTGGCATTGGCAAACATCTTACTAAACTACGATGTTGAAATAGCCGGAGAACGCAAGCCAAAAATTGTCGAAATGGGGTTTGAAATGTTATGTGATCCGGAGGCAAAGTTGATGGTCAAAAGGAGACACCCGTAACTCTAAATGCCCGGCTTTTTATGTACAGACACCACTTATCTCAGTCTCTCAAGTACCTTTATCAAATCAGACATGACTCCCATAGCAGTAACAGCTCCGCCAGCTCCGCCGCCCTGGACAATTAGAGGAAGTTTTCCGTATCGCTCAGTGTAGAAACTGATAATGTTGTCACTGCCCTTGAGTCCTGCCATGGCACTATCCTTGTCAAAGCTTTGCAAGCCCACTTTGACAACCTTCTCGGGAACGTCAATGCTACCCACATACCGCAGTACCTTGCCGGATGCTTCCGCCTTTTGCTGAAGATCATCCATCTTCGCATCAAAGTCAGGAAGGAGACGCATAAACTCCTCAGTCCCTTTAGGCCCAGCTTCCAGTTTCGCAAGCTCACCTGGAATCAGGCTCTCAATGGGGAACGAGCCAGGGCTCTCAACTTCCAAGCCAGCAATTCGAGCCAAGATGGTCAATTTACGCGCAACATCCATGCCGTTCAAGTCATCTCGGGGGTCAGGCTCGGTATATCCCAACTCCTTGGCCTTACTGACAACCTCGCTCCATTTCTTCTTCTCACCTGCAGCCGAGGGGGAAGGTGAAGAAAACTGGTTGAACAGGAAGGACAGGGTTCCGGAAAAGACGCCTTCGATTCGAGTCACTTTGTCACCAGTGTTGACTAGATCACGCAGGGTTGAAAGAACAGGCAGTCCGGCGCCCACGGTACTCTCATGGTAAACCAATGCATTGTTGGCAGCTGCAGTGGAGAATATATCCTTCCATAGCTGCAGGGAGGACGAGAACGCCTTCTTGTTTGGCGTGACGATGCTGATGCCTTTGCTGGTGAAAATAGGGTAGGAATTGGCAATGGTAGGGTCAGAGGTGTTGTCAACTAGAATGGCTCGTCCTGGAACCCCTGAGAGGTAGGTGGCTATCTGCTCTGGAGACCAGGCTTCAGACTTGGTAAACGAGCCGGAGGAGAAGGCTGACTGCCAGTCTGCCGGGGGGATGGCTTGGTATGAGGGAGCCGGGGAAGAGAGTGTCTGTGAGGACCGGGCAATGAGGACCAGGGATGGGGCATTTGGTAACTTGGATAGCTGTGAGAGAAAGTGGCTCCCGACGCCACCAACTCCTATATTCATACAGTTGTCAGTTAAGCTCGATTGAGCTGGATATTAAAAATATTTAGGTGTTTCTAAGGCCAACTTACCAACGACACCGATGTAGATTGCTTTGGCCGACATAATTGGTCTCAAAGGAGAGTTCTGTTTGCCTGTTGATATGGTAGATCTACTACGGAAGAAATGACTGTTTCGTTGTTGTTTCCAGCTGCCAGTTTTCCCCTCGGAGGGGCTCGTGCTCCGATCCTCGGTGATGTGATCAAGATAAGATAAAAAGTCTCGGCAAAAGCTTAGGTAATAAACTTTATTTGAGCTTCGGGCTTTTGGTCTTCAAACATTCAATCTTCAACTCCCTAGTCGCAGCTATATCAATCGAGTGGCCATATATGTATCTCGCTTGTATAGGGCGTTATCATGTCTTCTTCTCAGTCATTATACGGCATACGTCGACAGAAATCGGAAGCGTCCAAGAAAGACCTCGTATCCTCTTCCACACTTGCCTTCACCACCCACCTTTCCTCTCTAATAGCGAAGGAGTCCAAAGCTTCTAGTCCTGGTGCCGAGAGTCCATCAGGATCGACCGTTTCTCGTGGCCGAGCGAGGAAGTCCCAAAAGCCTGATATCTTCTCCGTGCATAATAAAGGCGCACAGAAACGAGCAGCAGCAGATTTATCCAGCGATAATGCGGCACTTCAGATCCATAAACGGGGCGCAGATATCGGCGAAGTTGACGATGCGGTTCTTAATCGGTCTAAGAGGAAAATGATAGAGAAGACCAAATTATATGAAGAACTACAGAAGGGAGAATACCTTGCTGAGGAAGATAGCGATAGCGATGAGGCAGGGCAACCCGACGACCGCTTCTCAGCTATACGGCGAGCGGATAAAAACAGCCTCGTTAACTTTGATAGGAAATGGGCAGAAAGTAGAGAATCAGAAATAGGTACCAAGGACACGAGTGATGACGAAATTACATTCGTTGAATACGAAGACGAATTTGGCCGGACAAGAACAGGTACAAAGGCAGAGGCGGCGGAAGCTCAACGGAACCGGCAGCTCCAGCAGGAACGATCTAGCATGGATGGCGAAGAGGTTGAGCGGAGCATGAAACCAAGCCGTGTCCCGGTGGCTGCTCGTCCATCTCGGCCTTCTAATGTCATATATGGTTCAGCTATACAAGCAGCTGCATTCAACCCGGATGAAAATACAACTGCCCAGATGTCAAACCTTGCAAAGAAACGAGATAAAAGCCTTACACCGCCGCCTGAAACCCACTATAATGCTGAAGGAGAGGTTAGAACCCGTGGAACGGGATTTTATGCATTCTCGAATGACGAAGAAATACGAAAGAAGGAAATGGAAGAGCTTATGGCTTCCAGAAGTGAGACGACGATTGAAAGGGATCAAGCAGCTATGAAGAAAGAAGCGAGGGAGAAAGCAAAGCAAGAGAGAAGAAAGAAGATCGAAGAGTTGAGAGGTAAAAAGAGGGCCGATAAGTTTCTGGGCAGCCTGGACACTCTTCTGCCATCTGGAGCTTCTTCTGAAGAGGCTGGCGGGAAATCAGCGGATTAAAGGAACGCCTTGGAAGTAGTTTTTATTTTATTTTCTTTTTTTATATTTATGATACCCAGATATGTGCCAGTTTAGATAATTAACGAGTTATGCCTGCATTGATATATTTTGGTATTTCGATAATCCAGAGCACAGAGTACAAAATACCTGCTACAGCTGTGGCTCATGGCTTGTTACGATAGAGCTTCAAGGTATGTATAGTTTGTTATAGTTGTTGTATATTAAATATGTTTACCTCCCGAGATACCGCTCGTTATAAAGACGGAAGAATAGCCTAAACGTGAATGCTTTTGCTGTGGCCGGATTGGCTTTTCTTGCTAGATACCGCGCAACACAAGGGCTAGCACCTTGGGACAATGAAGATCGTCGCTCAAAGCTGCAAACAAAAATTTCGAAGTATTTCAAAAACGCCCTCTGGATGCCACTCCGAACAGATATGAACAACCATCCAAAGCATACAGATCTACCTAGCTGCCATGGGCCTGCCCGTGGAGACATAGTCCAAGTGGGTAGATACTGTAATCAAACGCATAGACAGTATTCTTAGATACTTATTATCAAATAAGATGCTCGAATTAAGATAAGGGACAAATAAAAATCAAGTATAGGAAAACAGCCAGTAGAAAATAGCCAGTAAGAAATAAAATAAATTCAACGTATTCTTTCAACACTCCAAAATGGTACGATAGATGCAATAGTAAGTATCAAGAGGGCGGGTATCATCGTAAAGAGGTCCAAACACCAGGTGGATGTGAGATGCGCAAGACAGCTGTAAGTAAATGCATGGGATAAAATGTCTATTGGTACATGCACGATGCATAGGTAGTCAGGATTAAAATGAAATCAAGGTGTTACAAATTTCAGGTCTGGGAAACGGTCAGCCGGTGACATTATGCAAGGAATAGGAGAGCACTAACACCATATTGAGAATAAGGGAGTGCAGTGATGTAATTCCTAAGAGAAAGCATCTGATCGGTAATCGAGAGAAAACAGTCTCTCCCATGGCCGTTTCGAAGACGAGGACCTCGATGGCGACGAACTCGCACCAGAAATGAAACTAGGCTTTGATCTGACTGTGGCTGAAGGCGAATCAACTGCTGGGCTTGGGCTATGACCATCATTGACCTATGTTCCGCAAAGAAAGAATAATAATCAGTTTCCTGACGAAATGAACCGCCTTCCTCATTTAGAAGAAGAGGTTATTCTTATCTGTCTTCATTCATTTGAGGGATCCGATAGCAGATCTCTGCGAACCTCGTCAAATATCTGTGCCTCCTCCCTACGGCTCTCCGCACCTTGATCGCCATCTGATGCCAGTACGGTTTCGCTTGTTGTTGCTGGCTGAAGCGTAGGTATAGCTGCCCCGTTTCTTGATGCCGAACTATTTCGTCTGCTGTCCAAGCTCTTTGACAGGGTTTTAGTAGCTCCCCCGCCATAAGTTGTTCGTTTTAACCGGATACTCCCCTTTGCATCCACATGTGCGGAAGCAACCGTACTCTTCCCGAGGCCCGGAGTGCTAGGAGCTCGTGGTTTCTCTTCTGATGCATCTAATAGATACCATCTTAGGCCATCCGAAAGCTCGAAAGGATTGTCGTCTTCAATGGATGCACCGTCATTTCCTCCCGTTGAAAGACGGTCTTGGTTTGCCCCGTTCATGGATTTCGAAAGGTCAACTACCCTCTCCTGCACCTTTGTGATACGAGCTAGGAGCCAATCCCGCGTATGGAGTTTATGAGTCTCTTGCTCCCGAAGGAAATAGTGCGGTGCTCCCACGTTGAATGCGGCCCATGACCGAATTTCTTGGTTGCGAGTGGGAAGGAAGAGCGCAAGATCCCCCTCTTTGAAAGATCGGTAAGCAATCTTATCATGGGCTTCACTTTGAGCGCGGTGGTATTTGTCTCGATATCCTCGGGCTTCCTTCTGCCATTTGCGGGCCAAAATTTCAATATCTTTCACCCTTTTAATCACTGCATCGCCGCAGGCGGGTATATCCATCCGGTCGATGGCTGTCATGAACGAAGAAAATTGAGACGATTCATCATTCTCATTCCCTGCTTTGGCCCAGTGAACATGTTCTGGTGCTGTGATTGTGCCTACCAACGTTGAAGATGACATATTCTCCCCCACGGAGAGTCCATTCATTACCCTCGATGTTCGTTGAATTGCCATGGAGCCGTTTTGGGAAACAATTGTAAACCCGAGTTCTTCCAAGATACGAGATAGCTGTTCCACAAGCGCATGGACTTTCACTGACATATCGCCAGCACGGACACCTCTGGCATCAAACCAAGAGCTG